CTGGCAGCCAGAGGAAGCCAGGGAGGGCCGTGAGGCCACGGACGCCACGGTGCAGCGTGTATGGTGGCCATCACCCCCCAGAGATGTTCTCATGTGCCAGTGCTGCCCAGCAGCATGGCAGATGGGGCCGGGGGGCACACAGAGTATCTCTGGGTGGGCTTTGGGTTGATGCTTCACAGAACCACAGAATCACAGTACGGTCAGGGTTGGAAGGACCCTCTGTGGGTCACCCAGCCCAACCCCCTGCCCAAGCAGGGTCACCCAGAGCCGGCTGCACAGCACCGTGTCCAGGCGGGGCTGGAATATCTCCAGAGAAGGAGACTCCACAGCCTCCCTGGGCAGCCTGGGCCAGGGCTCCGTCACCCTCAGAGGGAAGAAGTTCTTCCTCATCTTCAGCTGGAGCTTCCTCTGCTTCAGTTTGTGCCCGTTGCCCCTTGTCCTGTCGCTGGGCACCACTGGAAAGAGTCTGGCCCCGTCCTCCTGACCCCCACCCTGCAGATATTTAGAGGCATTTCTAAGGTCCCCTCTCAGCCTTCTCTTCTCCAGGCTGAACAAGCCCAGCTCCCTCAGCCTCTCCTCATAGGAGAGATGCTCCAGTCCCTCCTCATCCTCGTAGCCCTCCGCTGGACTCTCTCCAGTACCTCCTCATCTTTCCTGAACTGGGGAGCCCAGAACTGGACGCAGTGCTCCAGATGGGGCCTCACTAGGGCAGAGGAGAGGAGGACAAGAACCTCCCTCGACCTGCTGGCCACACTCCTCCTAATGCACCCCAGGATCCCATTACCTCAGGAAGACAACGGTGAGCAGAGGTCCCCGACCACCCCACTCAGCCACCCGCCCTCCCAGTGCTGCTGCCCAGGGACGGGTTTTGCTGGACTAAGGCTGGGCAGAGCCGTTGGGGAGCAGGGCCACAGGAGGACGGAGCCACCGCGTCACCTGGGCTGCGTCTGCGGTGCCGAGCCGGTGGGGAGCAGAGCCGTCTGCTTCAGGCTTCTTCACGCCCGGCCCCAGGCTGACGGTCGCAGCGTCCGTTTTGGGGGCTGATGACTGCAGAAGAAAAACAGCAAGTGTGGGGCACGATGCCAAGGGCCCCAGGTGCTCCTTCTGCACCAGCCCCCACGAGCAGAGCATCCCTGCCCCACGCCTCTGCCAGTGCCACCCACGTATGACGTCCTGCGTGCGTCACGCCAAGCCCCACCTGGGCAAAGAGCAGAGGCAGGCTGCTGCCCTGAGCAGACGGCCACCACGCGAATCGCCCTGTGGGACTGACGTACCCCGAATCAGACCTGATGCTCTGTCCCTGGGGTTTTCAGGGGTTTTTTGGGGTAGATTTATAGACACTGTGGGTTAGGTCAGACTGGTCTTCAAACGGTGGGTGAGACCCACCAAATCCATTTCACTCGCGCCCCGCAGCAGGTTTATGATCTGCACCAGCTCCCGAGAGCTGTGGTTACACCCGGGGTGTCAGCACCTCGGGGGAATGGAGACAGGTATCCAGCACTCCCCCGCTGCAGGGAACGGGAGCTGCCAAGGGGATGCTTAGCCAGTGCTCGGCGTCCCTGCGCCAACGGCCTCCCCTGCCCCATGCCAGCACCACGGAGTGCCCATGGCGTTGGATGCTCCGCTCAAGGGTTTCCAGGCTGGCTCAGAGCAAGTTCCCTCTAATCCTGCAGCTTTCTCCTAGCTCCAGGTCTGGACCCACCCTAGCAGCTCCAGGCAGCGTTGGGGACTTACCTGCCCGGGCTGGAGGGCTGCCCCGGCGCTGACCGGGCAGGAGATGGCCCTGGCCCAGCGCAGAGGCAAGGCTACGTTTCGTCCAACCTTGGGCTGGCTCTACCATCCTCTCCCTGTGGTGTACACTCACATTCCACACGCATGCCGCATGCAGTTTCCTCAGCCCCGCTGTAATCACCCCCAGCATCGGAGCCGCTCTACACGCGCT